GGGGGGGGGGAATAATCATTGAACGAAAGATTGAACTGTGGGTAGGGAGGATGCTTGCGCAGGATAAAAAAACAGCGGCAACAGACTCCAAACCCCCAGAGAAAGGAGACGACACAGCAGGCTGGGATTCCCACACTCCCAGTGTACGGACCAGGGCTGAGCAGGGGAGGAGGGAAGCGGAAGGCCGGATATTTTAGGCACAGCTCTGGTGTACCTGGAGCCCGATCTGCCTGATCTGCCTCTACCACTGACGGCTCCTTGCTGAGGGCTCTCAGCACGGCACAGTGGAACTCCTTGTGCGGGGAATCTGGAGCTGACATAACCTGGACGAGGGAGGAGGAGCCCCGCTCAGAGGCCGGCGTGGCGGCTGGGGGCGGGGCTCTCTCTAAGCTGGGCGAGTCAGCCACAGACTGTAGAGGTGCGGAGACAGAGGCTTCACCCCTCGGTCGTGGTTCAGGCCCAGGACGGGGTACGCCGGAGGCCGATCCCTCCTTACTATGGTCTCGTCCCTGCACTGTGAAGTTATGTGCATGTGTGTGTGTGTGTGTGTGTGTGGAGAGATAATGTCAACCAATCTGAAGTTCATTCGATTTCTTTGTATGATTCTGCAGGAAGGTAAATATTATTTTATTAAAAGTATCCTTGCATGTTTAAAGTAGCTGCACATAGCTTTAAAACAAAGTGAACATCAGAGTGTAACAGCTCAGCTGATCTCTACTCAGTTCTTGCCTGTATCTCTACTTCCTGTGAAGACTAATCAAAGAGACTATTCTCGAGGGAGCTGCGATTTATATACATTTATATTGTAAATATCATGTAATCTTCAACAGAATCACATGGTAGAAGGGTTGTGGAAAGTATGTTTGGTTTCATTCCCACTGAACAGATTGATTTCATCTTTTCCACCCGTCACCTTTACCTTCAGGCCCTCTCTGTTTCTGCTCCACCTCCTTGCGGTACTCCTCCATGTCCTGGTCGGTGAGCTTGTTGAAGGGGTTGGGACCCTGCTTGCTGATGATCACCCTGGGCTGGTACTCCTTTTCGATGATGGCCTTAGACGCGGTCACTAGCTCCCCCTTCAGGACACACAGAAGGAAGGCAGAGCGAGGCGAGAGGTCAAGGGAACAGTTACTGCACGACACACGAGGAAGGATTTAGTCAATTGAAAACTAGCTGCAGTGTCGAATGCTGGCAGAAAATGGACTGGATTATCAGATTAGAGACACTTTACACACAACTACTATGCAGCATGAGCAGAAGTATCAGCCAGAGGTCTCTCCTGCAGACAGACTCATGACAGCAAGATACACATCAATCCTTCTCAAGGGTTGTATCCGGCTCAAAAAAACCCAACTGTATCCAAAAATCTCAGAGTGCATGAACATGTAGTGTAGGAAAGACTTGGTCACATGACCACAAAATACACAAGTGAGAAAACAGCCTGTCCATGGGTCTGTCTGCAGGCTCAGAGGAGTGACAGTAGGATGTGAAGTACAGGTGAATGGTATTTGTGACTGGAGCAGCAAGTACCTTTCTAATTGATTTAGCAGGACTATAGGACCCCTCGGACACATCGAGGTCATCAATAGTGTCTGTGCAGTCAGACAGAGGGGCGTCCTGCAATAGTAAACCCAGTGAGGGGGGGAGGGGAGCACAACCCAGCTCTTAAACACCAGCACATTCAAACCAGCAGTCTGTCAGGCAGGCATGAATGTGTGCAGACTTTCAGAAAACGTACTGCCTTCCACACACAGACAAAGGTGGAAAGAGTACTACGATATCAAGTACAAATACTACTAGCTAAGTAATCCTAAAGTGTACCTGAGGCCACTACTTTGAAAAAGCCAATTTGTCAACCTGATCGTGACCATTTCAATAAGAATACACACATAGAAATCTCCCAAATGTAAAGTTTGGAGAGTTAAGCTTTCAGAAAAGAGCTCAAAGTGAAAACGTCCTCTTGGTTATAGAAGTAAAAAAAAACTAAATGAAACTGTAGGCTTATCTGCAAGTGTGCGTTTGTTATGATGAGTTACTTTCCACCTCTGCATACACACACAAGTATCGGACATGCATGCACAGAGAGATGGTTCTGGAAAGTGATGCGGGGCTGTGGAAAGCATAGCAGTGATGGAACAAATAGCCAAGACCATGCATTGTAAAGACAAACGGTCCACACAGGGGGGGAGCTATACAGTTCATACAGTCTGAGTCTTAACAGAAGAACAATCAAGGACTCCTTTGGCCCTTTAACACTCTTTAAACCCGGAAGCTTTGGAAGTGGAGAAACTGAGCTAAGGGCTGCCCGGCAAAGGGAGAGCAAACCATGCAAACTGAACCCAAGGGGAAAATTATAAGCAATTTTCCATTTTTTGCATGCACAGAAGTAAAAGTGTATTAGATTGTAGTGGGGCTGTTGTTAAATATTAAAAGAGACCAGTCTGAAAGTGCTGAGCCGGATAACAGCATCAGCTATAAACTACGGAAAAGGAAAATAAATAAAATTCAATAGAAGAGATGAAGGAGAGAAAATAAACGGTGTATGATTATGGACACGACCTGAGCTGGCAGGTTTGGAGCGCAGAGCGAGGTTACCTTTCCCAAAACACTACTCACCTGCCAGATAGACAATCTCTGTGGTCAAAGAATAATGCGACAGTTACAAAGTCACTCCGTGCTCTGGAACACGACATGGAGGACACGGCTTGTTCTCAGTTATTAGCGGTTGATTTAAGTTCCTTCAGAGGCCGAACTTCAAGCACAACATTCACACTTTTCAGCACTTCGGTTTAAGGGGTGAATCCTGACCTGGACAGGATACATGATGCATTTATAATTGAATGTATTTTAAGTAAATACAAGAGACCAAACAAGTATTTTTGTCGGTATGAGACATGTTTAAGTCCAGGTCAGGATGGCTGTAGCGGCGAGGGTTTCATGTGCAGAACTTATAGACTGACCTGGTTGAAGTTACGATCCACTACGGAGCCGGCACACAGAACCTGGGACTGGGGCCCTGCTGTCTTTATGTCCTGCAGGTTCTGCTCCCGGATCTACAAAACAACAACATTATAAGTCATGCATAAGAACAGTAAACATACAGTGCGTGAGGAGCATCAAATGGTCTTAAAGGCAGTAAAAAAGGAGGCAAATGTGATACCTTATTCCTCATTTCCAGGACATCCTTTGGGTTGGTGTTCATTGGGATGAACTGATTGGCTGTGGCAGCCTGGCGGAGTCCGTCCTCCTTTGTCCACTGTGAACACCACATCAAGTGTTAAAACGCTACGAAAGCCGGATATCCTGAATGACTTAATATCTCAAGCACAAAAATAGATTTAGACAAAATACTAGGCAGGCCTCACAATCATGCTGAACTGAAATGAACAAAGTTGGATGGCTGTAAAAAGGTTAATAAGTGAACCAATGATGACGGGATTCATTTGCACTAAATTTAGTGGAGGACTGTTCTAATACCTCTCTGACGCTCATTTATCATCCCATGATATCAGGCTGCATCTTCCCAGTAACGTGGGGCTCAAACACAGACTGGAGGGACTAAACTGTCTGAATGCAGAACATTAGGGTTGTCCTCTTACAGGATCGATCCCATATTCTGTGTGCGATTTAGAAACTGTTGCATGGAGCTGAAATGTCGTAAAACGAAGGACTTTGTCAAGAAATGCTAGAAAACTACAGATATGTCCCTGTGAGCATGATGCGCGTTTATGCAATTAAAAAATAGATTAAAATCTGTTTTAGTATTTATAGATTAAGCATACAGTATTATGTCATACATATTAGCGGTATTCTGTGACCAACTTTTTGACGTTCATCCACAGGAGTCAATGCTAAAACACAAGAGCGTACTGGAAGTAAAATGATCACGAGGAGTTTTGGTGATTTTTAAGTTGCTGAGAAGTAAAGCTTGTACGACAGGTTTAAGGAGCTTACACGCAGAAGAAACACTGAGTTTTAAAATCCTTCAAATGTTTTTTTGGAATAATACGTCAGAAGTGATCGGTGGAGGTGATGCTCAGTCAGAAACCGGTGAAAAGACCTCCCGCATGACGACAGCTGAAGATGCAACGCCTGAAGCCTAAAGGCGTGTTTATACCCGTATGAAAACCATTTGTCATCATCATTGATGTACCATTAGAAAACCAACAGAAGGACCACACTGAAGATCAACTGAGAACATCACAGAATGAGAAAAAATTCAAATAAAAAAAAAGGTAAAAGGGGGTGAGGGGGGGAGAAGTGAAGGGGGGGAGGGCGGGTGACAGATGATGAGGCTGGCTTACGAAGCGAGAGTGGCAGTGAGGGGTGAGCTGGCATCACCAGAGTCATTTCCCAGGCTGATACACAACAACAAGGACGACAGAGATAAGAGAGAAACACACTCGAGGACACTCGCCCACGTTGGGGGAAAAAAAAAAAAAAAAAAAAACCAAAAACAAAAACAAAAGAGATCTTTCCTGCAGAAAATAAAGTAAGATTACACCGTCCTACCGAAGAAAAAAAAAAAAAAAAAAAAAAAAAGCCACAAACTGAGACAAGAGTGGATCTTTCCTGCAGAGGATGTAACCTTTTATCGTCTTGACGAATAGAAAAAAAACAAAAAAAAAAACACTCCATTTTCTACTTTGTTTTTCTTAACCTGGTAATGCTCAGCATGATTGGAGGGCAAAGAATACGTCTTTACCCATTTCTTGCACCAAACTGAATGAGCAGCGGGTGAATATAGAAATCAAATCTTCAGCTTTCATGCAACATATTCTGTTGAACCTTTTTAAACTAGGCATGTTGTTCGCGGTGGAAAGCGTAAGCTCATGACGTCATTCCTGTGCTGGTCTTAAGCTCGTCTGCGCTAGATGAGGGAGGGTTTCTGGATGGAAGTAGCCGAGTATGAGATGAACATGTAAACGTGATATATACTCACTGAGAGAGAGAGAGAGAGAGTCTCACAACACAACATTTCCTACTTTCCCAACAGGAGATAATCGATTCAAAAGTCAGGTCAAATTCCATCGCCTTTTCTCCGTTCTTTTTCCAAACAATTCCACTCATGCAGGTCTTAAAAAGGTGTTTTAGGAAACAGAGAAGTACAACTGGGTGCAGTTGAAGGTGTTTGAGGAAAATAAAAATTAGAAAAGCAGGCTGCATAACTCTTTTGCGAAGGAAATTTAGTTTAACAAATTTTTTTTTTTCTTATCAAATGTTTATAATGTATCTGGCATTATTCTGGTGATTAAAGATTCTCATTTAGAGACATGCCACCTCCCTCTTTTACACTGGCAATGTACATCTTAAACATAACACTCATAGGGTTGATACGGCCTCAAATCTCACTGTATTTTTGTACATTTTCTCAAATCATTTTTGAGCAACAAAGCTAACAAAAGCTAACTTCAAGATGCAAAGACTAAAACTAAAAGAGAGCTGCTGGGGGGCGGTGAGCTAAAGGGTGGTTAGCAGCGCCGCCGCCGTGTGTCTCGCCACATTCACCTGCCCACGTGAGGACTCATGCCACACACCCCTGCTGCTCGCTCCTCTGGGGAAAACATCAACACCAACAATGCATTTCACTACTACACATGCAGTGGGGCATGCTGTGGGGAGGCTGGCCAGGCATCGTGAAGCATTAGGAGACCCGAAGGGAAACGGAGGGCGGACAAAATACTCACAGCTATGCTACAGAGGATTTAACAGAGCAGAGTTTAGAAAGGTGGGTTAATAGGACATCTGCAGTGCCTAAAGTGAGCCTAAAAAAAGGCTCAATAAAAAAAAAAACTGTTTTAGCTTTATGCTACACTTTTACTCCTCACTGTCCCCAGAACCTCAGGATGCCGACCACCTGCCCATTTCCACCAACAAGGTAGCTGTAAAATCGTTACAATGAACAATAAGGTAGGCACAGACCAAGCAGTTGGTTATACAGCTTGGCACGCAGACACCAGACGAGAGAGACTGCAGCAAGGGTTTGACGTGATCGTGTGTTATGCTCGTCCACACCTTAGGCTTCGACTTGGGGCTGCCACCGTCGGGCCCGTCCTCGCAGGGCTCGTCGGGCCGGCTGCCGGCATTGACCCAGCGGGTCTTGTCGCGCTGGCCGCGCTGGAAGCTCTGCTTCAGCGGGGAGCGAGCGCCTGAGTCGCTGTCCTCCCCGTATGAGTAGCCACCGTGGCCGGGGGCAGCGTTCTCCGCGTCGCTGTACTTTTTAGCTTTGTCGCGCAATGCCGGGCAGCGGTAAGGGTAGCCCGTCCTGTAGCCCTGGGATACAGGAAGACAAACAACAACAACAACAACAACAACAACAACGGGGTTTAGCCATCACATCCCAGTGATCAAAGAATGAAGAAGTCCCAATTCCCCCTTTTTCTTTGTACTTACCAAGTTGTCGAGCATTCTCATGAAAGCCTCAAACTCCTGCTCCCCGACTTGCCACTTCGGGTGTGTGGACGACCCGTCGCTTGCTGGCTCTGGGACCCGCGAGCGTGCCTTGTATTTCGTTGGGTCCAGCAACACCAGATTATCCGGCCCTCCAGCGCTGGCCAGCGTTCTCACCTGAAAGAAATTGGGAGGGATACCGACAGACGGAGCCAGAATGCAGAAAAGGAAAATAAAATGTGGACATGAGGACGCGCACGGACATCAACATGAGGAAAGATGGAACACATATTAAAAAAAAAAAAAAAAAATGTGGAGAGACAAGGGACAAAGACAATTGTTATGAAAAATGCAGACAGACATATGGTGGCAAATATAACAACCCAAATGGAAATAAACGGCTCTATGCATCAAACTGAGAGCAAAGAGATGATACTTGAGATTCTTCGACATAAATAAATGTGCTTTAAGTCGTGCTCGTCAACGTGCGTCCTACCTGGATCTCACAGGCGGTGACCAGATTGTGCATGTAATAGAAAGCTTCCTCCACTGTTGCGCCTACAGTAACCAAGCCATGGTTCCTCAGGATGAACACCTGAAAGACAGGAAAGATTTTAATAAAAGTACTATTCATCTTTATGTAATTTTCCCATTGAGACAGGCTGTGCGTTTACCTTGCTAATAGGCCCAAGGTCCCTCTTGATGAGAATGTTTTCATCCTCGTCCACCAGTATGCCGTGGTAGTCGTGATAGGTCACCTCACCCAGGGACAGTGCCTCAGGCGAGATGGGCAACAGGCCGCATTTCATAGCCGACACCTGCAACCAAACACACCACACAACGCATGGTGTATGACTATCGTGTCCAGGTCCGCGCTTACGCTGGGTGTAATTACTTTGTATACACCGTCCCTTACCGCGGCGCCCGCAGCCGTGTGTATGTGCACGACGCACTTGACGTCGGGCCGTGCGGCGTAGATGGCACTGTGGAGATTGAAGCCGGCCAGGTTGACCCCGAGATTGGTGCTTCCCCGGTCAACTATCTCACCTTGAAAGTTGACTTTCACCTGGAGAGCGGGGCAGACAACGAGGGGGTTACCCAGTGTAACGAGAAGTAAACTAATCTTCACAGAAATCCCCGATAGGAAAGTAAAAAGAGAAACGTAAGAAAAGACACTCGGTTCTAATAGAGATCAGCACATGTTCTCACCAGACTGGAGGCAGTGACTTCACTGTACAGCAGCCCAAAAGGGATGATTAGGAAGCGGTCCTCATCCGAGTTCACCTTGACCTAAAGAGGAGCAGAAGTCAGTCGCATTAGGTTACAGCGTTACTGTTCATTTCACTTACACACACTAAAGCACGCCCTCTTCCAAACATCCAAATCAGACCACCTAGTATTGTACAAGTACAATTTACCCTATACGTGTATAAAGCACAGATTTGTGCAATTTGCGTTTGTTAATTAGGCCCAATGTGAACATATCTTTACTTAACTGCTTGATGAGAAATTCAGTTCAAAACCTCCGGTTGCATGATAAGAGAAAGAAGCCCATCTTACTGTGAGGTGGTTGAAGATGAGCTCGGACCAGCCGAACAAGTCGGCGAGCCGGTAAAAGGCGGCCAGCTTGCAGCGATGCTGCTTCTCGCCCTTGTCGTAGGAAATAGAGTCCGAGCCGCGCAGATCATTCACCGGAGTCACCATACCCAAACCTGAGAGGAGGAGACGCGGTCAGACACAACTGATTCTGATTCCTTGCCAGATAATAACAATTAGATAAGAGTCTGCCTATTGGACTCTTTGTCCCAAAAATTAACTTTGGCATACGCTGCATTACTCATTGTGAGCACAGACGGGAGCAGGGCTGAGGTCTCTCTCACACACACACACACACACACACACAGCTTACTCATGTTGAGCGATGCCATGCCTCCCTGTGGCGCAGCTGGATACATGGAAGGCATGCTGGTGTTCATGAAGTCTGCAATCTGCTGCAGAGCCAGCAGGCTGGTGGGCGTCTTCCCCTTCTGCAGCTGATCCTGGATCATCGTCTCCAGCTCATCGCAGAATGCCTGCAGACAGAAACACAGGAAAATATTAAATACATAAATTGATAGGCATTTCTTTTATTTAGTCCATCCATTTTATATCAATGAGGGGAAGCTAAATAACAGAAACACCTCTCTTGTATTAGACTGAATTAGGTATAGCTAGGTGAAACTAGTAACTAGGTAACTGACTGTATATCAACAGTACATGTGACTGAGACAGAAAAAACACTGACTGGAGCTCAACACAGTAAAAGGCTAATTTTAAAGCACCACTCAGGGCTTTTTTCAGCACTTGAATAAATCAGTGCTTTTCACACATACAATAGGCCTTTAAACAGAGCTGTTCTCTGTCCGGAGTATTCAGCAGAGCACAGACAGACTGTTGATGAGGAATACACTGGATCCATCGTGTGATGTTGAGAAAGCTATTCATGTGTTGCCACAGTATTTGTACAGTTAAAGTAGTGGCTGTAGGGTAAATGTAGTGCATGCCACTGAATCTGAATATATTCAGCGTGTCCGTTCCCACTGACCGGGCTCTGCAGTATCATGGAGACCCTCTTCCTCTGCTCCATCATGTTGAAGTCCTGCCGCAGGTCGGGCGCCATGTTCCTCTCCCTCTGGTACTCCGGGCTGCTCTCATCCACGCGGTCGAAGTACCGCTCTTTGTGGGGGGCTGTGGTGGGCGGGGGCGCCGTCACCACGCCGGCACCTGAGTCGCCGTTCATCCTGCGCAGAGAGGGATAAGAGACAACTTTTACACTTTTTTTCTTTATGTATAAATATTTTAGCAAGATTCATGTTTAAGTCTCCATGTGTGCTGGTTGGCCATGCATCAATTAGGATTAAAACATTTGTGAAGTGAGGAAGTGAGCGTCGCATTCATTACACGAGAAAGCTAATCAGATAGACCACACTCTTCCCTACTTCCTGTCACGATCACATGACCACCTCTCCCTCTTTCATCGATTTCCATAACGCCTTTCCTGGAATCACAACATCACTCCACCGTCAAGGCCGGGCAACAGGAAGTAAAACAAAAACTGGAAACGTCTCTCACCGTTGAGCTTGATGAATATTAGAAACTAAAATCTCTGCTATTTCTACAGGTATGTTGTGAACTATTACCGTATGCTTGGGGATCAATAACCAACATTTAGCTCAACATCATCACGTGTCCCCTTCTACTGACAACAACAGGAGACCCAGACAGATGTTCCTATAGATCCATGTCCATCCAGATGTCCATCTGTGTGGATAAACAGTCCCAGCCTGTCTGTCACAGCACAGACTACTCAAGCCCGGACTCTGAAGGACACAGAGTGTGTGTTAGCATGCATGGGTGAATGTGGGGTTGCTCTGGCCCATTAGTCGGCATCGATACAAATGTTCAGCCTAAACTACCATGACAACTGCAGAGCGAACGCGGAGCCTCCACCATCCCGCTGAGAGCTGGCAGAGACCCTCTCGCTCTCTGTCACGCTTTTATCGGCGTTCTGACATTTTCCAACAGCATTTTTCCACAAACCTCAGGTCACCTGCTCCAATCAAGGCGTTTTATGTTTTCAAGCTGTTTTGGGCTAATTATAGGCCACCAATGCTTTGTCCATTCTCACCTCATTTACTCATTAAATGAAGGGAGACAAATGGTGTTCTTTTTGCTTTTCATCTCGCATGCGTTTATACCTTCAAATGAATATGAATATTCAATTGGTGTCTCCTCTCTGCTGTTTTCCTTTAAATCAGAACTACCGTCTTAAAATTGCAATTACGAAAGAAAGAATATGAGAAGCTGGATACTCGCTCGGCAAACAGTGAGGAGGGAAAACTCTTGTTCGGTCTCACTCGTGTGATTGGGTCAAGAATCGGGACAGCGAGAGGGTCTCTGCCAGCTCTCAGCGGGATAGTGGAGGCTCCGTGTTCGCTCACTCCCTGGCCCGTTATTAATACGCATGTCACCGTGCACTGCAGAAATCTGTCAATTCTAAAAAAAAGTCACTCTGGGCAAATATATACATTTGTACTGATAGATACAGGCGGAGTTGGTCTGCATCACGCATCAAAGAAAGGTACAATGCTACAGTTTCTGCTGACTGACCCCGCGTCAGCTGGTTTACACCGAGGCGATCTTAATGCTTCTAGACTGCTCGTCTGATCTCATCCACTTCACCCTGACTTGTTTATGCTGCGTTTGCCGTCTGTTGTTCATGCTCAACGATGGGAATCCAACATGTCTGCTGACAAAAGGGACAACTGAGGAACTGAACGTGACAAACCTCTAGAAATACTAGACACCATTCCAGCATGAACATCTCTGGAGCATCTTTTTTTTCCTGTGGTGTATTTCTTGTGGACACTGTAGCAAAAACAATGGCCGTCGATGCAGGAAGCTTTCACTATCCACAATGCTCATCTCACAGCCCCCCCCCGCCCCCCATCAGCCTCCACTCCTGTTTAAGAGTGCAATCACTATGGAAACCAAACACATTGCCATGGAAACGCGGGACAGCCTGTTGAGATCGCCGTTACGTAAGAGCAGCTGTAGGCCGACATCACGCTGCAAAGACCGTCGGTGTCACAAGGAGCACATCTTCAAACTACTCTGTTGAAGTGACATGACACTAACACTATGTCTATATAGTTTAGTTAAATATAAAATAGTTAAAATTGTAAAATAGACTTACAAATTACTTGCATACACTTTTTTGCAACCACCATTCAAGGAGCCACTTTCTTAAACATTCTGCAAGAAGACCATGTGACAGGAAATGACCCTAACTGCTGCATGCCAGTCTCAGTAAATACGAATTAATTTGACATCTATAGTTAGGTATGAAGGACTAACATGTCATATGGCATGACCCCAGGAAAACCTTAATCATAATAACACAAATTGGTATTTACACTAGGGCTTGAGCTCAAACAGGTGTCCATCATAATGCCTGTCAATTTTGGTTGTAAACTGAAATGTCAAATAGGGTAACCAAGTAGACCAGGACCCTTTTTAAATGATGTGTTAGGAAAGAACCCTGGGTGAACCGTTGGTGTGCCTAAAGCTGCAAGTCATGCACGGCTGCAAATGTCGGGGAATTTATAGCACCCCTGACAGTAAGTGTCTGGTCCTGGCACTGTATTGTCGGGCCTGACTAGTCCTCTGTGCCTTGCACGTTTGGAGCACTAAAAGGGGAATAAGAGCTCATACAAAAACAGCAAAAGATTGTTTGCTAGGAGGACTTTAAGACACCGATGGTTGCCTGTGTACAGAGGGCCTCCGATACACAGAACATATAACAGTCGCACATCAAACTGCTGTTCTTTCCACCTCCATTTTCACTGTGGATGTGTAAAAAAAAAAAAAACCTCTTGGACTGGATGAATCCGAGGGGTTTTTACTCGTCTCCAAGCAACAGGAAAATGTGATGATGAATCAAGCATCCCATTCATACACTACAAGATATGCCATCTGCATTTGTGTGAAAAATTAGAGGCAACAGCAGAGACATGGCTCCCTCAGTCAGTACTAACAGTATGGCAAAATTTCTAATGGTTGACACATTTATTGATGTAGTTGTATGTTATGTTAACATAACGCTTCAACCCATAACGATTAACTCCGTTAAACAAAGCGATTTATGATGTTTTGAACTTACAATGATGTATTATGTGAGGAGAAGCACTCTCCCACGGTGGCTGGCTTTAAAAGCACTGGTGTGTACTGTACATTGTGCATATTTCCATTTTATCATAATTCTCTTTTGAGAGATGGAAGCTTGCACTGAAACACATTTTCAGCATGACCAAGCTCACTGAAAAAAAAATGTATTAAGCAAAAAAGGATCCATTTAGTTTGTTCCAACAATATGCCAATCAAGCTCTTGGCAGTGAAAAGATCTTTATGGTGTGGAAAAAAAAAAAAAAGTTGTCCTCAAATTATTTACTGGTCTTTCTTTGTTATTTTTAGTGTGTGTGTGTGTGTGTGTGTGTGTGTGTAGTTGGTGTTTCATGGAAGCAGTTTTGAAACATTTGAGCGAAGCACTCGGACGAGGCTCTTTATATCTCTGAGCTAGATGCCTGTCATTACTGGGGACGAAGAATCCACTAGCAACTGCTCTTTAGTGTGTGTGTGTGTGTTTCAGACTGACTACTACGCCTCGTAGGAATGCGTTCGGTGTCATTTTAGCACTGCCCTATGCATGGTCGTGTGTACCACGGAGTAATTGCCATACACAGAGAAGTCATAGCTTTATGGACAACAGGATCTAACAACAATACATGTGAATATTATAGCATAAATTATATCATAAATGTCATACCACACTGCATGCAAAAAAATGACATTGTTTTGTCTCGTCTCAGTTCCAAAGCACAGTATCCATGTGTGTGATCTTACCCAGTTAAAAAGGGCAATAAATGGCATAGTTAGCAACTAGCTTGTGCACTTAGTGGAGCACTTGGCAGCTAAAGAGAGATATTTCCCTCTGCTTTGGTGAGTAATGTCACCTTTTCCAAGCTGTCCAAACATTGTCCACCCTAAAATTAATGATCATCACATCGATTAGAGCCCAGTAATACATTTAAGTTTAAGTTGAGTGGCAAGTAAATAGCTCCTGTGACGAAGCCAACGTCATGCTTATTAAAAAGATGTACTGTATGTAAGCTTCACCATCACCGGGACTATCGTCATGGCTCAGATATTATCTGCTGCATACTACCAAGGCCAGGCCGAACGCTGTGTTAAGAGTGTGAGTACAGGGAGTCTTATCTGGCTGTCACATGTCATATGGGACAGAGTGGTGGAAGATTGCTCTCTGAAACAACAGACCCCTCCCTGTCCTTAGTCTCACTCTCTAGCGCGCCCTCTCCAGCCCGCAACGCGTACTCGCGTATCTTTAGCCTGTATCCCGCTACCGTAAACATTTGAACCAAACATAGATACATAGCCTACTACAGCATATTGACAAGGCCATTAGTGACCTATGTGGTGTGAATGATAGCTCAAGTGTGACTGCTTTTACATCTCTAACGTTAAAAATAAAGGCCTCCTCCTAAGTGATCACATATGGAGAGGAAGGAAGGAAAGGGTGAAATAGAGAGGATGGACTTGAAATGAGGAACACATTTTCAGCTGCACTGCAGTCAAGGGTGTGGGCGTGGGGAGTGGGAGTAAAACAAACACTCTGTATCTGGAGTGAGTGTGTATGCATGTGTGCATTAGTGTTGTTTGTGACAACATGGAGCCAGACTGACCAGAGCTAAGCTCTCTCCTTTGGGAGTTTCACTCATTCTAACGGAATTACCAAATGCAGGGAGTTACCATCCCTCAACACTCGCAGAGCTTTTTATCTTGGCCATTTGGTTTTTGCTAATCCTCATCCAGTATGAGGGGGAAGGGACTTCTCAGTCGACTTTAGAAAGAAGACAGACTGCGTTGGCTTAGTGGTTATGTTCTCCGGTTTGGGGATAAAACTGTCAACAAGGCACATTAAACCTTTACAAACTCTCAGGTTATTATCACCTTTCAATCCTCCTACACACTCTCACTAGAGCTGGACAATCAGTGTTGCAACTAAAGCCCGGAGTGACATTGTTTTGCCGACAACACTTGAAGATAATCAAATTTAATGTTATATAAAAATCTGAGAAAAGCAGCAAATTATCAAATCAAAAGGTTTCTTGATGATACATTTTGTCAGTGAATTCACCATAAATATTATGATAGGCTATTGTTTGATTGCATCAATTGCACTAATATACAGTGTATTGACATACACAATATTTTACTGTATATTTATAGTATGGTCCAACTTTTACCTCGATCTCTAGCTATAACTTGTAATTTCTATAATATGTTTTGCTCAATGCATTTCAGTAATAAGTGATATGACCCGGCTACTGTAAAAACATAATTTCCCTTTAGGATTAATAATGTACTTCATGTCTGGCATAACGTTTCCTCTTATACTGTGAAAAGACAGAATGAACAGTGACCTGCTTACAATCCTACAAATGAGTGTGCATATTGTGTATTATATGCAGGACATGGTGCCATCTTAACGACAGGAAACTACTCCATCAACACACAACTGAATAAAGCCCATCGTCCTGCTTCAAAAACACGCCCAGATTGGAAACAATCGCACATGACGAAACGTTTCGGCCCGAGCAGCCCATATTAAATAGCTTCAGTGACCGGGGCGCATGTGAAACGCAAAAAAATAATGCAACAACAGGCCTGCTCGGGCAGCAAGCTAACGATACACACACTGGGGGCACACACTCCTGCGCTGTTGTTGTCCAACACAGGAAACCGCCTTGAGCTGCAGCGAAGTCATTTAAAAATCACAATAAAACGCAGAAATGCTCCGTTTTACAGCGAGAAAACGTGCACAGCAGCAGCGCCTCTGCAGAGCAACATATTAGCAAAAACAGCTAACCACATCTAACCACACTAAGACACAACGAGAGCGGAGCAAACATTAAAAAACACACACACACGGGTTATTGCATCGGACAAACCGCTGAAAAGCAAATAAAGTCGATTATTTCAAACCTTACCCTCTCTTTGATGAAGTGATGGAATATGAAAACTCGGTGAAAGCAGGACGGTGGGTTTCACTGGCTTTATCCCCGACCCTGGTGAGCTCAGAGTGGGTTTATCGCTCTAGCGCTCGTCGTCCCTGCGTCGCTCCGCCCATCATTCCACTTTGGGTGCGGCAAAACTGCTTTTAATCTGCGGCTCGCTATTGGACAGTTTGGGAGGCACGTGACAGCACCGGGGGCTGTGATTGGAGCATGGATTGTTTGCCCCGCCCCCAGCAGAAAAAAGGGGGCTTTCAGTACACATCCATGATTTTTACTTTACTGCTAAAGTCATGAAGATGATGAGCATGGGCGGTGGGAGATGATTTGATCCATCACACAATATGCAAAAAAGGCAAATTGTTTTATTTCTATAACTGTTCAAGCATCAAAGAGGTAAAATTATCCAATATTTCACAAAAATGGTGTATCAGAACTTCGTTTTTTTTCTTCTTTCCTCTCCCATTAATCACCTCAGATTTATCTGGTGACCCTTCAGAGGGGCCCATTCACGAGTTTGGAGACCATGGACTTAATTACCTACATGTGAACAAAGTTTAAAACTAACCTCAACCAGCTATAACAGTAAAATGCTATTATTGTCACAAAAGGTATCAGTCACAGTGATATTTGTTTCTGCTGAATGCGTTTACTGAAGTAGGATATGGATGCAGAACTTTTACTTCCAATGGAGTACTTTTACTTCAGTAATGGATCAGAGTACTGCAACAATAAGTTGAGCGCTCCCATGGAAAATTAAAGAACAAGGAGTTCACAATTTCTATATCAGTACAATTGAAACCTGTATTTTATATCTTAGGTGCTACATATAATTCAACATTTAATCCAAATGGTATTTTAGATCCCAGCTTCTTATCCTCCATTATCTTGTTCCTGTGCAGAATATAATAAACATGTGCTGCATGCATTTGTACATAAGTTATGTCACACTTACAGAAACTCACAATACTGAATTGGTAATTTATCAATAGACCATATGGAATGGCTTTCAAAAACAAATTCCAATACAAGTATTTCTTAGATTGTTTCGAATGTTTACACAATAATTTAGTCTTCACCTCTTTGTTCCTGCGCAAACTTGTCAGATCAACAATTTTCTCTGTACATCTTATAGCCGTACATAAACATACATAAACATCCTCTCTATTTATATCCATTCAGTAAATATGTATTTGCACTATAACATCTTACAGAACATGTGACTTGTATAAAGAAGTTGTATTTCTTATTTTACTGTTGGTCATTGGTGCGTAATATTTACATCATATTTATACTTGCACCTGTTTCACTACTTACATAACCGCCCTGTCTATTCTGTACCTTTATCCGTCTACCTTTGTTGTCCTTGTCCCTATCTGTGGAAGTACAAGATGCAAAAAACAGAGTCAAATTCTTTAACAGTGCACGGGTACCATTACACAGTTATATTGCAGCAGATGTCCTCATGTTGACTTTGTGGTGCAAGTCAGGCCATTTAAAAAAAAAAACCCATCACAATAGCACTTGAGGTCAATTACATCACACTGAGGGTGGGCCCACTGCGGATTCTCAAACATTGCAAAGCGGCATTAGTAGTAAAAATAAAATAAAAAAATAAGCTGTACCTGGCCTCCATGGTGTTTGGCAGAACTAACATTTTCATTATAACTAAAACTAGGGACATCTGTCTGCGCATGCGCAACATACATGCATTTCCACGCCGAGGCAATGGTTCATTCAATATTAAGATGTCATCTTTGATATTTGCCACTAGATGGTGCTGCTCCACTACAATGGTGATAGTCGGACTGTAACGCATTATTGCAAAATGTTATTTCCTAAAGTTTACCTGACCAGAGTTTAGATATTACATATTATTGGTTTAGGGAAATATGTGGGCTAATAAACTTAAGTATAAAGTGCACCAAACGTCTGTATGTTTGTCCCAGAACTGACTGATTATAACAGACCTCACTCCTTCAGAAATATATATTGAGAGTATTTTAAAACTTAAGCTTTGCAAGATCTTGTATTAAAAGTTATAGGGGGCAATGTTCCATTTTAAACTCCTGAGTTTACAGCATATCGGACCAGTGGCCCTGACCTCTGACACTTGTGGTGTTGATTCTCTCCCGTACCAGTCGACACACATGCACTCCCCCTCTTGACTGATCTCAGACCAGCGCTGGCCCTTCCAGTGTTCTGAATAATTGTGGTCTGCCTTGTAGCATGGATACACCAGCGAGGGACTCTAAATATATCCAACTGGTGTGTCTGAAGAGTTCAGGCATGAAGATCATATACTTACACTGGAAATCAACACCTTAACTCTAATACACTCATCTATTGTGTGTATGTGTGGGGGAGACTTTCTGTTCCTGTTAAATTTACATTTTGGGCATTTATCAGATATTCTTATCTACAGGAGCATTAAAATAAGCCTCGCTGTGTGGTGCCTTTGTGTCTGTCGGTTCCTATTTCTTTAACATATAAACTAAGCATTAAAATGTCCTTCTTGTGCAGAGTGATAGTAAATTAACCATTGACAAGTTGAATTTGGGGGGCAGACAATACAAGAAAGACCTACGTATGGAAATCTGATAAGTACATTATGTCTTTAAAAATGCAGATCTGTCTAAGTGGTGACAAATCATTTGAGCAGCAGTATTACATTTGGGTTTCAGCACACATTCCTCGGTCACCTGTTTTCTCTTAGCAGCACATGTCAGAGAGTGAGTGAAGATAAACCCAGCTGCTTTACGTATTCATTTCAGGCAGCACTTACCATCCCCTTTTAACTCCAGCCAGCCTTCAACCCCGAGCTCTCAAATCACCAGGGGCTGATATGAAAATAAACAATTTGTAGTATAGCGGATGATGCCTGGGAGTATTGGCATACTTAAGGACATGGCAAAAGAAAAGGGACATTGTAGACTTATTGCAGCTCAACTGAGCAGGTATATTTTCAACATTTGTTATTCAGAGAACCCACAAAGCAGCCACAGAGGTAGACTGGGACGCCGTTCTATCTTCCACCAGCAGCAATCTGTCTACTCAAAGATGGTATTGTATTCAGCCTGCAGTGCCATGGAAAGCCCCTCTCCCTCCTCCTCTGCCCTGCACAATGACACAAGGGTCAGCCTGTCTTTCCTCCACTGTGTTTTTGATTCACTTCTCCTCTAGGAAAATGTTGTGCAACCTTTGACCTCCAACTGTGACCCTTTTAACCCACTGGTCCATCTACAGAGTCCCCTCAGCCAAGGTTTAAGGTAACCACAGAGGACATGACCTGTCTGGAAATGTGTGGGATTTGAGAGAGAGCGAATCAAATTAAAAGGGATTAGTATTCTCCACCTAAATTACATACCTGTAAAAAAGAAGCCATTGAAAAAGACCTGCATTCAAAATGTACAAAAGTAGGGAGGAGTTAGAGCTCATTTTAACTTACTACGTATATTGTACGTGTATAACTTTCTTTTATATGATGATTTTAATGTAAAGTGTCTCTGAGAATTATGAAAAGCGCTTAATAAATAAAATGTATTTTATTATAATTCTACAGAATAAAATAATATTACTTTTTACTTTCCCTCTTGCAGAAGTATACTCAGATATTTTACTTAAGTAGTGAAATATATTGAAGTAGAAGTATCGTTAAAGTAGTGAATGTTGAAAATAGAAATTGAAGTACTTCAATGCAATCCTGAGGTACTTGTACTTTACTTATGCATTTTCATTTTGTCTGTTATAAACTTCCACTCCACCACAATTCAGAGGCAAATATTTTACTTTTAAGTGCACTGCATTCATTTGACAACCTAAATGAATTCAGATTAATACAAATTAATGTATATATTATGATGTAATATCATAGATTAGATTATCCCTTTATTAGATGCAACATTAAAGTGATGAACACAATCAATGCATCATTAATTCAAGTCCAATATTATGACATGTCATTCTGGTTAATGAGTATTTTTTAATTGCATTTTGATGCTAATACTTCTGTACTGTAAACTTTTGAATGCAGGACCTTTACTTGTAACATAGCATTTTTTAACAATACTTTTGCTTATCTTCAGAGTGTTTCTTCGACCACTAGGTCTCTCTGTCACCACCTCCCCCCCCCCCCCCCCCCCCCCCCGCACCCTCCCCGTCTGTTGATATCGCAGCCCGGAGAGGTTTGAATCCAGTATCTGGCCCCTAAGCCGCCATGCTGAACTGAGAGAGAGAGAGACCAACCAAACTTTGTCACGCTGCGACTGCACCGACGCTCATCTCCGTACACACCGGGACGAAGAGGAGAAACTTCCCCGCGGTGAGTAGCAACACGGTGCACAGTTTGGTGAGAGCTAAGCTAAGCTGCGTCAGGACTTTTCAAATTGTAAAAGTTAATTCAGTCGTGTTCGTGCGTGCCGTCGCCGCCGCCTCCAAGCTCAGCTGCACTTGTTGCAGTGTGACCGAAAACCCCCACTGAGACACAAAAGAAGAAAACTACAGCCTTTTATCTCTAATTATTTTTAGTTAAGTGTTTTTTTTGGCGCATGAAACTTTGAAAATACCCTCACCGCGACCGTTTTCAAAGCCGAACTGCGGAAAAAGAAAGAGACGTTTAACGGACGACTTGCTGCGCTAAACCACGCAGTCGCTGTCACCGTCCTTGAAGCGCAAAATACCTCCTGAATCTAATATTACGTGTTCACCAGCCGTGCTCACGCAATTCTTTTTAAAGATTAAACTCCCCTTGCACTTTCAAAATGCCATTCTGGCAGCCGGAGGTCATTCAGGGGGTTCTCTACCCCTTGGCATGCATAAATCAAGGGGGGGCTCTTTCACTGCAACAACAAAAGACTTTTTTTTTTTTTATTGACACCACTGAGGCATGCATATCCACGTTACCACAGTTTATATGAAGACTGGCTCTAGTTGGAGCGTCAGACCCAACGAATACCTGCAGCGTTGCACTGTTGAGTCTCTCTTGTGCCAAGACAGGAGGGCAGTCCGGTGCAGCTGTGGCTCATCAGTGGATGATCATAAACCTTTCACCTGCATGCATGTCTGGCTGTGTGGGCCGGAGGGAGTAGTAAGAAGTGGTGGAGCTGCTTTCTGTCTCACCTTTTGCCCTCCGGCCTGGCTAACCGAAGTCCCGTGACTCTCCTGGCTCAAACTACACCATCATCATCCTCCTCTTGACCTTCTTCGGCCCTACAATCACTTCAGATTAGGCCTGAAACTATCAGTTAATGAGTTTATTGACAGAGAAGGAAGGCGTTGGACGATTGCAGTTTCTCAAATGTAAAGGTTGGCTGCTTTCCGTCTCTTTACATTACAATAAACTGAACATTTTTGGGCGGTGGGTCTTTTTGCGGATGTCACCACAGAAGAAAAATCTGCAAATGACTCGATAATGAAAGTGATCTTTCGTTGCAGCCCTATTCCTGATTTGTCCCACACGCTCTTTAACATTGCACATAGGCTCATGGGAAATGAATGAATGCTCCTCATTTAAGAGCAAAGAAACGCCCCTCACATTAAGTACAGGCTTACATTGCATAAGCACTGTGGAATTTTAAAACATGCCAGCTATTTAGTTCCCCCTTTTTAAAAAAAAAAAAAAAAAATACTGCTTCGTCAGTGACATCAACCGCCCCGCGTCTCCCTCCTCTTCGCTCAGCGTTTTCATCACATTGCACGGGGTATGACATCCCTCCCCTCAAGGCCTCAATAATTTTGCCTTCTGCCTCATCGAGTTTGACTCCACAGGTCTTTTTTCCGGGTCGTATCAGGCATCGGGGCAGCCTCCCGGATATTGTCAATACGAGGGGGCTGGCTGGCGCTTCGGTGGCACCCGGGCAAGCCAGAATCATGTCAGCCGGAGCCTCGGGGGGGGCCGGGGCCGGGCCGGAGAACTAGCCAGAACAGGATATTGCTGTGTGATCATTCACCAGCAGCAGACAAATCATTAAACCACTTGGCTGCGTGCCGCTGAGAGGCTCGGGCAGTTCTGTCTGTAACACTGACTTTCCCCTCGGGTTAGAGGTTGTGTTTGCATTGTACGGTTTTCATTCGCTCTTGGAGTGGCCATCGGAAGGAAGGTTAAACATGGTAGCTGTATTATTTTGTGTGAAAATAACTGTAGACTTTCTTTCTAGACTTGTAGACTTTCCATTACCTGCTTTTTATGAGGTGATCTTTGCACACGTGTTGCTTTCCCAGGACTTCCCATTTCAGGAAAGCTAATTTGTCTTCTTTGATTTCTTTAAAATTCTATTAGTGGAGAAACTGAACTCTCTTTGTCTTTTTCCCACATTCATTGGAGGCACAGGAGTCACATGTGCTAAATGCAATTACTCGGAGCGCTCTTGCTTGTTAATTATGACCCCTTATAAGCAAGCAAACCTGTCTTAAGTGTCCTTTTTTAAAAATTTTTTTATCAATAATCAATTTAAAATGGGTGGGAAAGGGGAACTGCTTGGCTGAAAGAGAGCTTTGTTTTAAAGTTGAACTTTGTGCCGAAATGGCACTCGTTTTGGACGTCGGGGGTTATTTACTTGGATGCCTTTTTTGGTTTTCAGAACGGGTCCTGGCTGTTTGTCAAATTTCTCTCTGGGAGCATTGAAATTGCTTCTCACTGGAGCGCATCCAGTGTTGCATATAGGAGCTCGCGTTAAGCACACATACTGCTTTTTTTTTTTTTGTGTTACTCTTCAGATCCAAATGCAATTATTCGACCACCTCAAAAGAGACTTTTTATAAGGAGACATCATGTTTCTTCACACACCCAGAGTGACTGACTGTCAGGTAATTGAATAAACTCCTAATGGATTAGAGAGTGACCATTCATGAGCCGTCAGAGGCTTTCTTCTCGTACCCCCCCTCTGCTGGGTTTGGTCGTCAGCCAGTCTCCTTTGCCGGAAAAAGGCTGAAATACCTGCAAATGGCGTGGGCAGTAACTCTTCACCTCCTGCTGTGGAGGTCACTGTAAAAGGTAATATGTCATTGTTCCCTCCTGCTCATTAGCAATTTAAACCTAAGGAAGCTGCTGGCAGTCGAGTCAGCAAATTCAAAATCCTCCGCGCTGCGTGCTGAAAGATGCACACGACAGCGGTTGTGTCCTTTCCGGGGAAACAAGGTGGGCGATTTTTCGATGCATGTCTTGCAGCAGCCTCATTGATTTGGTGCTGCAGGAGTTAAAGGGTAGAGGTCAGGGGGCCAGTCTGTGGTGCTTGGATGTTGAGGTGCGCTGGCTCAGTGTAGCAGACATCGGGGACAACCCCCCCCCCCCCCCCACCTCCTTTTGAAACACACACACACACACCTCCCCCTGCCACACCCTAGTACCCCCAACACCCTCAGGCTGGAATAATTTCCTATTGGCAAAGAAAGACGCAGCAGACAGTGGCATGTGTAGGCGCTTCACGTGTGTGTTGCTGGCCATGCATAATGTATCGCTGCATTCCAGAGATGTCTCAGCAAAATTGTCTCATGATTTGAAGGACGGTTTTCAAATCAGCTGATACAAAGACAAACACTGGACGTTAAGCTCGGTTTCCTGTTTTTCTCCGGTTTGCGTGTTTGGATAACAATAAAAAAAAAAAGGTGAGGAACAGTCCACGCCCTGCAGGGCTCAAGTCGCTTTGATTCTTTTCAAAGGACAAAAGTAGTTCTTGTATTCGCAGCAGTCGTCTATTTATTTGTAAAGGCTGCCAATAACTGCAGTGATGAAAACTGCATAGTGAAGATTCCCAAGATGCATCACCCTGAACTATGACGGCTTAGGCTGAGTGCAGGAAGCTTACTGATGCGTTGCTGCAGCGCTATTTATCGGCTCACTTTATGTTTTGAAAAGGTTCCCAGAGAGCAGGGAGCTGGAAGGGAATGGAGCAGGGAGCTGGACATACAGTACATTCTGCTGCTGAGGAGGAGGAGGAGGAGGAGGAGGAGGAAGAGGAGGACAGCGCTGTGTGACGCAGCTGAATGGGAGAGGGTGCTCTCCGAGTTTGTGCAACTTTCAGCAGCATTTGTTAACAGGAGGTAGTTTTGCATCGAGGGGGTGATGCACGGCAGACACTTCATTTGCAGTCAGCAGATTATCAGCTTCCCTTATTGTTTGATTTGTTGAGTGTTTGCATCGTGAGAAATAAGACCTGAGGATGCAAACTGTCTTAACAGTTTAACTGTGCGTGTGTGTTGCCGGTTTATTAGGCACAGCTGGGTAAAACTAATGCAACAGCCATGAAATGAATCATCCTGTGATCATCTTAATTTGCGTTGAAATTGTATCAGACTGCATTCACTCGGGGCTAAATACAGTGCTGAGAGAGGGCAGCAGCTGGACCTGTAGTCCCCATTGACAAAAAAAATAAATCCCCACAACAATAGACACTACCCTAACCTCGGCCCCCTCCCCCGTCTTCCCTTCTCTCACCCGCCACCCCCAAGTTCCCCCTCCCCCCCTCCTCAGCAATTGTGTGCATTGACGCTTTCCAGAGGCTCGATCTCTGCGCTGTCGCTCTCCACTGGCGAGCAGCGCTTCGCTGCGGTGACAGAGGAAAGGCAAACCAGACGACAACAGTCTGCCGCTGACATGCGTTAAAGTGAAACAGCCCTTTAATGCAAGCACCATCTCTCCACCCGTTGCAGCCTCTTGTGCTCTTTTTTTTTGGTGTGTGTTTATTGTGCAAGAGAGAGAGAGGCAGGGGGAGACCAAAGGAGGGAGTGTGTGAGGGAGAGAGAGGACTAGAGAGGGAGGCGGTGCTGGATGATCATATTCTATTTTCTTTTTCGTCTGTCATGCAAACCCATGCAGACTTTCCCCGTAATCACGGTGTGACCGAGCCGGTGTGTGGAAGAGCCTCGCTTTCTCTCCGCCTGCAGGATCGTCGCTCTCAGACTTCTGGTAAGATTCACGTCGAGTGTGTTGACTGCTGGCGTCTCACGGTGTCAACACCTTGTTCCTCTGCCATAGCAACCAGAAATGTTTTTATGCTCAGTATGCGCAGTGCGAGGAGTCTCCAGTACAGTTGATGCTATTTTTACCCAATTCGCATTTGGGAGGTAAATAATTCAGCGTTGTGGTTGATGGCACGTTTTTCATGATGCAGTGAGTGGGGACTCTGCTGTGTCTTTGAAGACCCTCACGGTTCACTGAGATTAGCCTCTCTTTCATGAGTGTGATTTGGCATGTTTAAAGAAGAGTAAAGAGCAGTATTGTCATTCTTTTTTTTCTTTTTTTTACTGTTGTCTATTGTTTTGTTTACAGTAAAGCTGGGCAAACTCTGTATGGATTTGGCCTGAATTGGTTTCCCCTGAATGATTTTAGATTGGTTGTTGTTCAGCGTGCAGTTGGAGGATCACAACGCTTGATTAACGATCCGATGGACGCCTGGCATGTCTGAAATTCTGGTTGGCTGTCTCTCAGTTTGAACTGTTCCCTCATGGCCGCTGTCAAAATATTGGTTCCGAACTGCAGTGAGCTTGTTTTTCTATTGTTTTACGTGTCGTGGCTCAAACTATATTCTCTAGACTGCTGTGATATTAAACACATCTGGAGCTCCACATCATTTTTTTTATTCTAATAGAATTGTACAAAGTAACGCTTTTCTCTCTTTTGTCAACATTGAGGATGCAGCCATCTTGTTTTTAATGAACTTTATTGCAATTGTCACTAAACAAACCCAACCAGGGGTTCTGTGCCTACGCTCGGTGAGATCGGCCAAGTCGTGGCAGCTCGATTGATCCGTACAGTGTGAGCGTAACAGTCGCAGGTTCTGGCTGTGCACAAAGGCTGATGAAAATGTGTAGAGTAAGTTAACGTAACGTACAAGCCCAGCTTTAGATGTGGAAACAGTTTGTCTTCCACTGGCTGGCTGTTGTCAGGATTTATAAATCTCCCTCCAGAGGGGAAAGAGTGGCATCGTCTCCCACAGCTTTCACATTTGACATTTTCCTTTTCCTATCTCTAAGTCTTTCACTGGGCATCGCATCGCTTGGAAAAAGATTTAATTGTTTGTGAGTGTTGGGCTCGGGTACATCAAAGCTAGCTAACAGGTCTTTTCAAGTGCTATCACTCCACTTCAAAGAGCGCTGTTCTTCTGGCTCCAGTGCATCGCTATCTCAGCCATGCACCGGTAGAAACCATTCCGCCCCTTCACTTGACCTTTCGTTAAACCACCAGCTGCAGATTTCTTGCAGCACAGTCTGACTGTTCTTTATTGTTCAGCGTATCCAGCACTGCATCATTGTTTGCGTGAGAAGGCAGGAGTTTAATTGTGGGCTTTTGGTTAAGGAACTCCTGGCTTTGCAGGAAAACACTGCATACATCGTCACAACAGCATGCACAGGTGAGCATGGGACAGTTTTCATACAAAGCTCTCATTCTTGGGTGGATTGCCACACTGTGCAAAAGCATGGACTCCTGCATATTTCAACAATTCTGTAATGTGAAGAAAAATGTCATTTGGAAATTGATTTTTTTTTTGTGCTTCTTGAGAGAAAAATGCTGCGACATTTTATCCATAACCTTCTGGTGGAGCCTCATTTTATAACTCGGAAAATAATTTTAAAACATGCTATCACCCCAATTCATTGAGATTTCACCCAAAATGTCCAAATTCCTCCGAAGGTAACTGCGATGTTGGCGTCTGCGCTTCTGAAAAAGTTTCCCATAAGCACACAGTGGCCCGAGGAGACCAGAGGAAATGGAACTTAATCGATTACTTGGGTGTATACAGCTAATGCCCGTTTCTGCACCGAAGAAAGACGCATAAAGATAGGTTAATTGAGCTGCCATTAGACAGTAAAAATAAGAGAGACACAGACATGACAGGTAAGCAGAGCATTAGAAAGGAGAGTTCAGGGGTGATGGAGGATGGAAAAGTTGAAAGGAAGGCACAACAGCCTCTTGAGCGAAGATCCTCGCATTAGACTGGACTGGACTGCCACTGGCTGGCTCTGAGGCCGCTGGCTGTCTGTCTGATGGGATTGGGTGGGGTTTACCCTCACGCTTCTGTCTCCCTGCAGTCGTAGCTGACAGCCATAAAACCGTTAAGTCGTCTTTGGTTAATCAGTGTTGTATTATTAACTGAAAGACATATTTCGGAGGTAAAACACGATTTAAAAGCTTTCCTTTTCTGCTCCAGGGTCTATTACGTGTACTCGACTGTCTGTGAATTGGTATCGAACCTTTATCTGCTTATGGAGCCTAAATCCCACTCTGTCACCTCGCAATCTGTGTTATGCCAGTTGCGTTGACACATAACCGGATCTAATCTATGAATCTAATAGTGCCGCTATCGTAATCTTTTAAAGGCAGATAAGCTGAAGAGCTAATGCCGGGGGGGTTTGGAGGCTGCTCGTCAGCCAGAATGCCGGCAGTAAGCAGCTGCTCATTTATGTGCATTCCCAAATAGGCATCATTAGCAGAGGTGTGTTTTACCGATTTTAGTTTTTAAAGTCATGGCATTTGTGACACCCTCTTTTATCAGTGATGATTTATGGATTATGCAAGCTTTGATGCTGGATGATGAAAACTCTCACCGTTGCTCCTCAAGTCCCACAACACATTCTTCATGTGCGATCGGATTCGTACTGTTCGCTCTCCGCCCAGAAGGGTTTCTCGGTGCTCTCTATTTATGCTAGCTGGCTGGTCGGCTGCCTCGGTAACTATGGTGACTGTACCCCCCCCCCCCCCCCCTAGAAAGTTGAAGAGACCCGGACTCGCCGGGCTAATTGTGAGCAAGTGAAGCATGTCTGCAAAGTTAGCTGCAGCCCGGCCTGGACGATGGCCGGCTCGGGGGATTTCTTTTGTCCTCTTCTGGTTGTCACAGACGTGCGGTAACCATCACATCAGAGGTGATTTACTTGTTTTTTAAGTGTTTGTTTCTCATCGGAGAGCGTTGAATCATCTAGGAACTTGACCTACATACAAAATAGTAAAATCATGTGCATAAATAATCAAAAAAAAACTAAAACTTCTACTAATATGGGGCAAATTATGTTGCACTCTAATTATGTGTTTTTAACCATAATTACAGGATAATCCACAACTATTATAATAAGTAGAATCTTTAGCATTTTAACGTTTAACTGAATCTCTTTGGGTTTTAGGCTGTTGGTTGAATAAAACAAGCTGTTTTAAATCCATCACCTTATGCTGTGAGGAGTATTTTTCACTATTTGCTGACATTTTATGGAACAATGAATGGATGATGAAACTCAAGTCATGTTCCATTAGTTCAGGATATAATGTGTCCACTGTAGGTTTGAGTGAGTGATTTGACTCTTTCGTTGCTCTCCCTCTTCTCTTGCAGACTGGTGTTGTGACATTTTTTTCCTGTCCTCTCCCTCGAACCATTTCCCACTGTGTGAAGGAAAGTGAAAAGGAGTATTAATGAATCAGTATTCGCCAGCCGACGCCATGACAGACAAGTAGGTGGTTTATCTTATTTTTTTAATTCAAAGGTGTGTTTGTGTTGCGTTCGTGCAAAGAGCCCACTGTGCTCCCTCTGTGGCCCTTTTGTGTGGTGTGAAGTAAGAAGATGATGTTGTCTCTTGTGAACACACTTCTCTCGCTCTGCACACGATTGTCTCCTGGAAGTGTTCTGTGAGAGTGTGTTTTGTACAGCGGTGGAGGAGGATAGGGGTTCTGGTAGCACAGAGAGAAGTGTGTTGTGTTGGGGGGGTGTATAAAGACAGTCTGTTTTGCCTCTGAAGACGTATGACATTTGCATCAGGGCTGATTTGCATTCTTGCTCACTGTGCTGGTATCGTCATTTAAAGGGTTTTGAGCCTTTGTCGTGGTGCCTCTTCCTTTGCTCCTTCTCTGTATTCTTCACCTTCTTTTTTTTCGTGGTTCTTTCTCGCCCCTTTTCATTTGGACTCGTTCTCTACGCTCCCTATCTCTTTTTGTCTCTTTTGTTAAAGTTCGCCTTTGTCTCTCGGTTCGGCGTTTGTTTGGATTTGATCTAACTTGGAGGACGGAGAATTTGGGGCGCAGTAAGCAAAATAATCTGCTGTCGGCGTTCATAATAAGCGGAATAAGTGGTGCAGACCGGTCAGCTGAAAGGGATAGGCAGCAAACAAGGCCAGGCCTATTATGTGCCCGAGTTCCAGAACATGGACGGGGCAGTTTGAAAATCATAGTTTGACCTGTAACGAAACAGAAGAAACGGGTTGTTTGCAGACACTTTGATGAATAATGGTGATAATGTATGCTTTTGCAGGACTTTGCCGAGAGGCAGAGGAGGTGTATGTAAATACATACATTAAAATTGTGTGCATGGTTACATGGTTGTGTGCACTTAGTCAACCTCCAGCATCTCTCCACTTATTACTAATGCACCTGTTTACCCTTTTGATAGAGAGAGAGAGAAGGGGGGGAGGTCTGGTGACTCACTCAGTCTTTTTATGAAACAGGCCTCAGGGTAGTTCCCCTGGCTAACACCAGCACAATATAATGTCTGTATAAAATATTGTGCATCTTTTTGTAGAGCTGGATAATGCTATATTTGCTCAGAGGGGAATTTCTCTTGCAAATTAGAAGGTTGTACCACTTTTTTTTTTTTTTTTTTTTTAAAAGGATGCCTTTTTGCCGAACCAGAAGTCTAGGCTTGGAAGTGTTTAAGTGTTTTGGATGCAACATAAAAGGCAAACAAGAAAAAACATATGTTCTTGGAAGCTTTATTTTGAAAGCAGGATGCAGCAGTATTTTTTTAATAAGCCTCTGCTGGACCGAAGTGAAGTGAAGGTTGGGAGTTTCAAAGTAAGTGATGATGTTGTTGACAAGCTGTCCCGCTGGATGAAAGGTATCTGAGCAACCAGAAAGGGGGTGGCAGTCTGTGCTCGATGCTAGGCCATGTTGTAGGATGATTGTTCTTCGAGAAAGAATGATAAATGTTACGCCAAAAGGAAGTGAGGGGAAAAGTTGGAGGACGTGCCCCCCGACGGTGATGGCGAACAAAGCCTCCCTCAACATGGGACTACTTAAGATTCATACAAAGGCAAAGAAGACAGCTATTTATTTTCTCTCTAACACACACACACACACACACACAGATGCCTCCCTTTTTTTCTCTAGCTCACTCATGAACAAACATTTACACATAGCGGGATATCAGTGAACATTCCTGCAGATGTATGCATTCCAATCAGCATTCCCAGATACCCACTAGCCTGCAGACACATCTCGAACAAGCGGAATACTTTGCATTCAAAGATGTCCATCATTTTGCACAACCTTCACATTCGTTTCGTAGTATTAAGATTTGCGTCTGTGTTGTCCATGATGCAGATGTGACTTTTGATTCTGGAGCTGCAAATATGCTCTCTCATTCTCAAAAATGAACATGTTTCAATTACAGGACATTTTTTAAGTTCAGCCTCCTTTGGTACCAGGATGCTGTGGGATGAGGAAAAGTTTCTAAAGCCAGATTTTCTCCGTAGTGCTTGTAGATGGGGATTCATTCTGTTGAAATTCAAGCCTGCGTTAATCCTCTTCAACACACTGCTTTTTGTGTGTGTGTGTGTGTGTGTGTGCACATGTGCGAGAGTCCGTGCACCCTCCATCCAGGATTTTAATGAACTGGCATTTCCCCCAGTTGTTCTGTTTTCTTGCTTCTTTCAGAGGGATCTGCACCAGGGTTCCCTGTATGGCATCATGTATGAAAGAAGATGACCAAATGCACAGTCAGAATGTAGTCGTATGAAAGTCTGCCACTTTTGTCTAAAAGACATTTCTACACATGAGCTGTGGACTGTAGCTAAGTTCTTTAGGGAAAAACAGAAGCAAGAGGAAAAATACGTTCCTTTAGCCCTCGAGCCATTCTCGTGTGTCTTTATGCAACGATTCCATTCTTGTTTTCCATTTGGAGAATCCTCCTCCTACTCACTTCTCCTCGTTCTTCTCTTTGTCCTCAACCACTGTATGAATTTTCACGCTTGAATATCCTCTCTCATAGCAAACCCTGTTTTCTCTCTCTGTCCCTCTCATTTTCCTTCCCTCCCCCACCTGTGGTGGTGTACGCTGACAGCCCTGTCAGAGACTTGGGATGTTTATAGACGGACAGTAAGGATGGCTGCACAGATGAGTGTGTGTGTGTGTGTGTGTGTGTGTGTGTGTGTGTGTGTGTGTGTG